TTTTTTTTTTTTTTTTTTTTTTTACATACAGGACATAGACCTTGAACTACCAGGTTGAAATGTTTTTTTCCTAAATTTATCTTTTGGTATTAGATTTTTATCCAGTACAAAATTTATATTTTGTACTATTATCTTTTTTTCTCTCTTTGATTTCATTTTGCTGAATTTTCCCCCAAAAGTCAATCAGTTATTCCAAGATTGCTTACAGAACAAGCTTTCCTTAGTCATTTGAAATGCTGTTATCATTTTTCACCTGATTTAAACATTTATGCACATATATATGGGAATATATATAATTTTGACTGTTGATGTTTTTTAAAAATATTTTGTCACATTTTATGTCTTTTGATATCTTTTTCTTAAATCTGGCTACAAAGTCACCCATAGATGAGGTTTAAACTTTTCCTTCTCATAGGACCGATTTCTCCTGATCCCAAAGATGTTGGTCTGAGGACTGACGGGTTTCTCAGGAGTAGGGAATGAAAGTGGAAACTGTGAGAATCACTTTAGGTCTGAGCCCTCTTTGCTGCTTTCTGGTGTCTTCTTGATGGAGGAGGTCCCAGGGCACCTGGAGTTGAAGATGCTACCTTCTCGGTGTACCTCTGGGATACTGAGCTGCCCGCACACCGTCCAGCGGCTGCATGACCGCCTGCTGCCCTTTTGTCTACTTTCTGCCAAGGGACCATGGGAAGCTGTGTATTAAGTTAGATGGATTCCTAGCCACGGAAGGAAGGCTTTCCTGAAAGTCTGAGACCATATTAGTGATTTTATCAAGATTTTCAATATACCCCAGGAAAACCCTTGGATAAACAAGACCCTTTGAACTCTTTCAGGCTTACAAGGTTACACTGGTCAGAGGGCAGAGCTCCTGTGCCATATCCTGGGCCAAATGCCGGGCCTTCCCTTCCCGATCTGCACTCACACCTGGAGAGTGTGAGGCTCTCATTGACGTGGTATGCGCTGTTTCCAGAACCCAGAAAGGACCACGAAACGTTGCCTCTTCTTTCCTGGTGGAGCAGGTGGGGTTCTACAGCTCTCCTCTGAGAAGATGTTTTCTGCATGCTTCAGACACTGATTCAATTTTGTTCAATCTTGGATTTAAGTAAAGCCTTCTCTATGTATTTTTTTTTTACTTTAATCAGTGAGTCTAGCTTTAAAATTTTCCTTTAGCATTGTATTAGCCCTCATTGATTTTATGCACTTGAAGGTCTTCTCTTCTGTGAACAGACTATTTGTTATGCATTTCTCCATTAATGGTCATCTGTGCGCTCCCCAATGTTATATTATTAAATACTTCTGGGAACATTTTGGTGTGGAAGATGAATGTGGACTACAGGCATCATCGTATTGCTCCACATTCCTCATTACAGGGGAAATACCTACTTAGGAGTAAACACTGAATCCCATCAAGTGCTTTCCTCCCCACGGAGGTGGCGCAATTTCTCTTCAGGGAGCGGCTGTCTCCCCTGGCCTACATTTGGTGAAGAGTTGTTTTGGGCTGCATATGGAATCTATAATGTAATGTAGATAAGTAAAAATCCCCCTTCCTTGAAAGTTTTGATTATAGCCAAAAGAGGACAACATAAACATAACACTAGTAAGATGTCTGACCTTGATTGGTGGAACCAATGTCAGTGTGTGGCCCCACACAAGTAGCTACAACTCTTAGCCAGTTCCCAAGGAACTCATCTGAAAACTTCCAACTAAGTCTACTCTTCATGTACTTCACCTTTGAAAATGTAGCACTGTGTGAGCTTTCCCCTCGAAGCAGCCTATTTTCACTGAGGCAGGGGAAATAGTGCCCCAAATCACCCAATAATGTTCAAGGATTCCAGCCTTGTGAAGCTTCATCAGTAGCAGGTCACAGGTGGCCTGCAGGTGGGACCTGCCCATAGTGGGACTGTCCTGGCCCCCTGCATAACCATTGCAATGCATTCACGCACATTTCTGGCTTCAGCTTCTGCATTTCTTTTTGTGGAGCAATCTTGGAAGCTGCACGAGGTATGTGAGTCCATCAGCCTTCCGGTCACCAAGACACAGTGCCAAACACCCACGACTGAAGGGCAGAAGAATTACTCTGCTTATGCTTTAATTCCGTGATCCAGGAACAGACATCATGGTCAACAAAAAGACAGAGCAGAAGGTCCTGGAGGCCAGGAGGCTGAGCAGGGAAACAGGGCCAGAGAGGGAAAGGTGGGTCTTCTGGTCCACTGGGCATTCCTTCACCGGGTGGGCTGATGGATCAGGATGGACAGCCAAGTACTTAGGTGCTGCAGTTCCCTGTGGCTGGAGGAAAGTCTCTTGTGTCAAAACCCCAGTTGCTTGCCAGTAGCTCACTTCCTGTCTCTGTCATTCTCCCTCCTCCACCGACAGGTTCCAGACTCCCCAAGCAGGCAAAATGGAGTCACATTCTAGTATGTGTCTGCATCTGCAGAAATCCAACCTCACACTGTTGAGCATGTTGTGGTTGGTTTTGCTAGCTTCCATTCCTGGAATAAGACACATTTACTCCACGAGATGGATCACATTTGCTGAACTTGTTCTGCTGAGATTCTGTGGGAGAGTTCTGGGCCTGCTGTCAGGAGTTAGGCTGGCCTGAAGCTGCCTTCTTCTGAACTGTCCTTGGCAGACTTTCTAGTGAGGTAACGTTAGCCTCAGGTAATGACACATCACAATTTTCTGTTTACTGTGATAGTTTGTAAAAGACTGGAGTTGGTACTTCTGGAATGTTTAAAGATGTTTTCAGCCATCGGGCCCCATGATCTGTGTAGGGCTTTGGAATATCTGTGTATCTAGGCCTCCTGGCTACTCTTCCTTATCCCAGATCTCATCAGCGATGTCCTAGGCAGGGCAGACTGCTATGGTTGGACCTGGGGCGTCAACACAGCTTTGCAGATAGAGGAGGAAGGAGCTCTTTTATCCTTGCCAGGTATAAATAAATCCCTCTTTTAAAATATTCTAATTTTAATAAATAGAAATTGCTCCCTTACCAGCTGCATGGCAGGTTTCAGGAAGCCTGCTGCCTTGCTCTGGGAGGCAGGCTGCATCTGCACCAGCGGTTACAATTGCACACAGCACTTACGCCTGTGGTGCCAGGACTGAGACTAGTTACCTTTGTGCCATCATAAAAGAGACACATGGTTATCTGTGTCTCTGATGGTATCACTGTTTTTCCATTTTCTCCAAAGATAAGGTATTTTTGGCATGAAGAAGGGCCTTTGTTGACTTATAGCCCTACCTAGCAGGACAGAGAACCCATGTAGGGTGTCTTCCACCTCTAACATTATATTTTTATCTGTTTCCAGGAGCTGGGGAAATAATTGCAGGTGGATATGTGGTCTCATTAGGCCTGTATCGACTCTGATAAATATTCCACTAATCACCTTTCCTCTAAGTAGCTGACCAGGGCTCTCCAGGGACCCAGACATAGTTTGTGCCTTGAGAGCACAGCTGAGCCATCTGTTTGTCTTTCATGCAGTTTCCAGAGCACTCAATCTAGGGGAAGCTGGGAGGAAGATTCCAAGCCTGCCCAGGAGATGATCTCATCAGGACCATGGCTCTCCCATGAGGTGGGTGCACCAGGCCCATGAGCTGATACTGGAAAGTCTAGAGACTTCTTATGGTGGTTCAAGAGTCAGATTTCAAGAAATGAAGGTTTCTCTTTTGACACTGTGCAGATCAAGTGTGACTTCGAAAAGGATGTCTTTGTTTCTCTGCTGGAGACTTTGGGGTCATCCACCTCTGAAACTGGGTCAAGACAGTGACAAAACGCTGGCCCGCTGTGTCTCCCTCTGCTTCCTGAGGCCTCGCTTAAGGCACCCATTTTCCAGAGGACATCTTGACCCTTGGGAGGAGGAAGTGTCTTCAGCCCTACTGCCCATGGATGTGACTGAGGGGCTGGGACATCTCAAAAGGGGTCCGAAGGAGGAAAGGCCAGAAAAGAAAGCTGCAAATCTAAAACCAAACAGCAAGCACAGATGAGGACATAGCTCCATGATTTCCCCATTGCAAGTCACAGCCACTCCTGCAGAGGACAAATCAAGGGATATTTTCTTCTTTGGCTTATTTCAAATTTGCAGTTCTTAATAACATAGCAAGTTTGTAACTTGACAAAGCTTTTGATATGTTACATGTTTCATTATGCATTATATTTTAGAATAAAATACACCTGTAATTTTTTTCAACTTGTGGTTGTAAAATTAATTTAATGTTTTGTGACAAACATGTGCAAAAGAAAAAAAGAACAACACTGAAAACATTATATTACATTTACAGAATAAGGATAAGTATTGGTTGGAAAAGTTTTGTTTCTTTTATATACAGTGAAAACAATAAAATACTCCAGCATTCTTTAGATTTAACACAATTTCTAAATGCACATGTTAGATAGTTTGTAACATGCTTATTTACTTTAATTTCCTGTCTTGGGACGATATGCAGCAGTTTTAAAAACAGTATATACAGGCTATTTGTTTCTAAGCCTTGTTTACTTCAAAATGATTTTATTTCTTTAACAGTGAAAATATAGTCTAAGTATAAAGTGATTTTTGTCACAATCTCACCCCCTGAAAATACTGTCTCTTTAATCCATTGACTTCTGGGATTTGTATTGTGGAGAATTCCAATTTTAATTTCTGACTTAAAAAAAATAACATTTGCAAAGTGTGCACATTCTAGAGTTTTTCCTCCCTGCCCTTTTAGTCACAGTGTTTTCTAGCCAATGTCTAAGAATGCACCTTTTCCCCTCCACCTTCCCTGCCCTTCAAACCTACAGCAAGCTCTTCCCTCCTCTTCAAGGGGGTGTCCTGCCAGCCCACTCGTGGGTTGGTGCAAACCCTGCATGGACCACTTGTTTTCTTACCACACACACTGATAAAGAAACAGAACTTTTATATTTGCGCCTGGGGGAAACATTTACAACTTCTCTTTGGAAAATCCAGATTGCCAGCCTGGCCCTATTGGCTTTGGGGCCACTAATAGGTTCAATAAGGATTCTGTCACTCAGGTGATGACACAGTGACAGTCCCTCTTCTCACAGAGGTGGCTGGGGGCACAGCTGGTGAGCACAGAGGGGATAGGTCTTGTCCGGGGCCACAGCAGGACAGTGAAGGTCCTGTCCATCACACGTGTAATCACAGTTTAGGACTGGTTTAAGTGCAGGGTTCCACTGGATGTTTTCAGATCCTGGCTGACCACAGTAGCTGAAACCAGAGGCAAGCAAAGCCACGGGTGGACACTGCTCCTGCTTCACTCCCATAATGCCCAGAACTGGCTCATCGCCATAGTCACACCTGTCCTGATTGTGCTCCATTGCTCCTGTTGCTCCTTAAAATGATCTGATGTAAATCAGCAGGAAATGTTGCCATGCCCCTGTGTCTCCAGCACTGGCACAGGTTTCCAGCCATCTGGAAGTCAGTGTGTGATTGCAAGAGGTGCCCAGGAGCCCGGTCCTGCTCCAGAATAGCAGCGCACCTGCAGTGTCACAGACTCTGGCTCTGCCTGTTCAGTTCCCATGGCTCCATCCTGCCTGATACCTCTTCACAGGTGCAGTCTCAGACACTGGCCCCTCGATTATAAGCTCTGGTCCTTGAACAGCAACACGGACTTGGCTTTAGTACTTTGTACAAGCTGTGCTCTGTCCTGAAGGCTCTGGTCCACAACCTGCTCTTGACTGACTTCAGATCTCTCAGGATTAACACCAGTGGCCCTGCTCAGAGTGGCCTCCCAGGGCCACCTGGTTACACACCCCACACCAGTATGTTTTCTCCGACTCCCCATCTCCCCCGCAAATGCAGGAAATGCATGACTGATACCATCCATGGCCAAAACCCTGAATCCCCACACTTCCTGAATCACTGAATGTTCCTCTGATTAATGAGCAGATCTACAATGAAATCCTTTGAGCTTAATGTTTGAAATTATGTACAAATATTTTTAACTACATAGTCTCAATTCCAAAGTACAATCATTAGTTATGTTGTATCTCAGAAAGATTACGTTTCCTTTGGTAATTATCTCTTCTTTTATAAACTGTTATACTTAATATTTTTTATATAGGATCAATACCACTTATTTGAATGGTAGCTGCATGTCCTTTAAAAATTTATATTAGCATTGTAATAAAAATTCAACATCATTTCTGTTTATACTGTTTATAGCAAATTTAAAGTATTCTTTCTGAGCTTAAAAATGTATGTTTTGTCAGATGTATATGTGTGTGTGTGTGTGTGTGTGTGTGTGTCCTAATATATTTCTCTAAAGACATCCTGCTTCCAAGAATCTTAAGGCAAACCAGTTCAAACATAGCAATCAGGTCATCATATGTTCTCAAAACTATTTAAGTATTATTTTCCTAGGCCAGCAAATGATAAGTAAATCATTTTCAGAGTCAGTTAATGTGAAGAACCTTTCCCATAAGACAAATATACACATGCAAAATACAGATCTAGAGCCATCCCCAGGCTCTGTGAGGATGGGTTGGATGAGCCCTTCTGGAAGGTCGTCTCTGTGGATACTCACATCTCTTATAAAAAATGGTACAGGATTTGCATATACCATACACACATTGTCCTGTATACTTAAAATTATTTCTATACAATGTGCACACCACAGGAAGAGTTGTTACATTGCATTTATTGTTTAAGGGCACAGAAGGCTGACTATAAATTCCCTGGGCTTGAAGACTCCACCAAGTTTGTTTATTAACTTACATTGGCCGTAAGACGTTTTATCTTATTTTATCCTCAAGTACTTTCATTTGCATTGTTTTATTTGTCAGCAGTCTACATGTCTTTGAGAGAGAACAAAGGATCTGGCTTGAATTCGAGCTAAGCAATTTCAACTTTTCATTATTTCGTCTTCTGAAAGACGTCAAAAAACCTTGGAAACAAGGCTGAGAAGCCAGATCAATTATTTTCAATCTTTATTCATTTCCATAGTCACAGCATACAGTTACTACCCAAGGGATAGAAGATTAGATGCAAACAACTAGATGGTCTCCTTAGTGTGCTACCATCTCCATTCTAATATTTAAAATTCCATCTTAAGTTTCTGAGTTTAGCATGCTATGTTTTTTCTCAAAACAGCAGCCGGGCAGTTAGACTCGGTAGCACAGTGACAAATACGTCTACAATGTTTTGGACACTGATACAATGAGCCTAGTAAGTGTTCTCATACCAGCACCTGTCCCTGCCGTAGTGAAACTGGTACCGATCTGTCCTGCTCATGCTGAATGAGCTCATTTCCTGGCATCTGAGTGAAAACCTGGTGTCTCGTGTGTTCTACCAGCTGGACTGAATCGAATCAGAACTCTGATGCCTTAATGTATGCCATCCTTCAAGCTCATACAGACTCACAGATGACATTTACCTTATTATTTTATGCGCTTACAGGTATTAATCTTTGAAAGAAAATACATTCCTCAGTTAATAACATAGCGCAATCAAACCTTTGCTTATTTTCCTCATTAGACTGAAATAATAAACCAAATAAACAAGAAAAATGGAAAAAAAGTAGTATGAAACATTCTTTCTCCGAAGAGAATGTCAAGAATATCATGCAAATATGCACATTTCTGTAACCAAAGGCAGAAAGTCCATGGGTTTACCTTGGTGTGGCAGAGGCATTCACTGCCCTCCGCCCTCTGCTTAGGGTTGAGACAGGGAAGACAGGCCCTGTGCAGCTGAGTTCGGCTTTGGACAGAAAGAAAACAGAAGATGCTCTGGAAGGAAAACTGAGATCGTTCCTCTCTCCAGTCTTCCCTCTTCCTGGTGCATCTGCAACACATTACTAGTCCTATCTCTCTGTGCTAGAGTAAAAATCATGTTCCAAATAAAGCAGTCTGAATTATTATTAAGCCAAAAATAAAGGTGGAATATCAAAATCCTAATTCGTCAACCAGTGAACACGGAACACACGGCTTCTTTGGGAGGGGTCTGCATTCATCATTTGCATATTGTATTTAGCCAACAACAAATTTTAATTTTTTAATTAGGAGACATTAAAATATAATTAGCAGCAAATAACAGAATGACAAAGCTACAAAAATTCATACAGTCAAAGGAAGCAGCATATTTGAGCCATAGCAAAAAGGTTTCTTCATGAACGCAGGGACCAAGGGTCAGCTTCCCTCCCACATTCGCCCCGAGACAGAATTTCTAGAAGTGACTTTGCTGTACAGTGACAGAATGAGGATGACACAGGGGTAGTTGTCAGAACCAAAGTGTGTTCTCTGGTCAGGAAGCTCCCAACTCAGGTGAACAGCATACATAAAGGAACACAGCAAATTCCAACATAGCACACACACAACAAAATTAATTCGTTTTTCAGAGACAGATACAGTTCCGAATATGTGTTTCCCAGGAGGAAGCAGAGGACGCAACGGACCATCTGAAGCCATCAAACTTGCAGAGATGAAGGATCCACTACGAAATTCACGCAATACATGGATCATAAACAAAAAATAAATGATTTATCAAAAGAAGTTGGTTGGTAGCCAACGTAGAGATATCCGTAGGTTTATATTTATATATCGAATGATAAAAATCAGCTTGCATGAGGCTTACAGTCTATCTACTTTGAAGTTATATCACACATAATAGAAGCAATTTACAGAATTCATGAGGTCTGCATATACAACAATTGCAAAATGAATTAAAATACATTGAAACATAGAGCACTCAAAATGTATTCATAGAAACTTCCCAAGATGGACAGGGGTTGGCCGTAAGCAGGACTCCCCACCATGGAACCAGAACTGGGATCAGGAAAAATTAAAATATCCAAGAAGGTTTGAAAGAAAACTTTCTGTAATTACTCCATGTTTAAGACAATATTCTCCTGTTGACTTGCAGCACTGACGATTTTGTTCCTACACCAGAAGGGTTTTGTTGGGTAAAGGGTTCTGTCCTGTAGACTTCTGATCTGTTTGTTTCTCTGCAGCTGATTGGTGGGTCCTTTGATGGGAAATCAGTGGTATCCACAGTAAACATTCACTAAACAATGACTCTGGCCAACCCCCGAGCAGTCAGAGGGATGATGATGTTACTCGCCGAAAGAAAAGAGAAAAAAATTGGTCTTGCTATAGAAAAGGTCCTATCGCTTCACACTAATCCTTGTGAAATGAAAGACCAGTGATTTGCCAAAGAAAACATTAGGAACAAAGCGTGTGATAGTCTCTTCATTTATGCTTCCGGAAGCAGGAGCTCCTGGTGTAGGTAATTATAGTACAGAGGGTGCTGAGTGGTGCTTGGAGTTTAGGGTCAACTTTGCTGTCCGCTCCGTAGGTTTTACAGGCGATTTGCTCTTTGCTTTAAGAAGAGAAAGTGATATTGGAAAAAGTCAGCACTTTAGACTAAAGCAAAGCACCCTTCACAAAGCCACAAACAAGAAGCAGGACAGAAAGTCCATGGCTTGTAGCTATCCTCGCACCTGCGGAAGAAGTTATAAGATATTCGCTCATCTTGAAGGTTTCCAATGCTCCTTATTACGCTGTTTTAAACACATACACATATAATATTTAATTAGCTCGCCAGCTTGGCTCTGCTGCTCATGAATGTCTTGGCATGCACTGCAAACAACAACACATACAAAGTATTTCAGTCCCGGGACGTGGAGGGGTCTGTTCTCAAACAACGCCATCCTGTGGTTGGGAGCTCTGGGAGGAACAAATCCAAATGCTTTTTGCCTCAGCGGTTTCCTGAGGGTCGTTCCCTACAGCCATTTGGTTGTTCCAGTATTGGTAGCAGAAACACAGGCAGTGTACTGCATTAACACAGGCCTGCAGGAGAACCTGCTGGCTTCCAGTGATGGTCAGGTACTTCTAGAGGGAGGTCAGTGTCACTTTCTAACTTTCAGACCTGAGGAAGTAGGTGTCTGTGCTATCAATTAAATATCCCGTGGATTCTCTTGTATGAGAAACCCAAAATACACATAAACAGCTAAAGAAAAGATAGGTCATAGGAAATAGGGAGCTAGACCTCTTACAAATGGTAAGGGGACCAAGAGATGGGGGGAAGAGAGAAGGGTGGGAAGGGAGGAGATGAAAAAGGAACAGAGATGTGCAATGTGCTCCTACCAGCTCATCAGTATGTACTGCAAAAATGTACCAATAAAATTAAAAGAAAAAAGAATGGGAAAACCTTAAAAGAGCTCCACGACCACGCAAGGGGTGGACTTAAATGCTATTTCACACTTTTCTTCATAATCCCACCCAACCAGTGACAAACAACAAGATCTTTATCAGTGAAGAAATGTGATGAAATGCAAAGCATCTCTTCTCTGCTTTAGCGGGAGAATGGTAAGAAGACGGGGATGGGGAAACTTCAGTATTTTTCAGTATTTCAGCGAAGCACGCTTGGCTCCACAGAGGCAGCTGTAAAACACTGGGGGAAGATCCTCGAAAGTTCACGCTAGGATGCTAGGATGAATATCCAGGTGGCCGGCCTTCCTGTTTCCTGTTAAACTGTGGAACAACCGCCTTCTGGTGGGTGGGCTGCTGTGTGACACAGTGGCTCCTCCGAGAACCCAGGGAGCGAGGCCCCAGGTGAGTGGGCCTGGAAAAAGCCCTGTGCCCATGCAGGGGTAGAAGGCTCAGAGGTGCAAGAGCGGCCACGCTGCCCAGGACAGTGTTGGGGCTGGGACACAGCCTGCACACACCCCTGCACATGGCGCTGCCCGGAGCTAAGCACATGCTCTGACGAGGTTTCGAAGAGATTCTGCGACAGTGATTCTGATGAAAAAAACTTACAAAGGAGACAAATAAATCATTACCTAGATCCCTAAACAGCCAGCCACACTTGATTGACCTGAGAGATGTCTGTATTAAGTGAAAGTCTAAAAATTGCTAAAAGTAGCAAAATGGTTCTCTGTTTTCAAAATGGCTTTGTGCATATCCTTTTCCTTCTCAGCTAGGCAGTGCAGGCAGGCAGATGCCGGTCTGAGGCTATGACCTCGAGTTTTCTGCTGCCCCTTCCCAGGCCGGGCCCCACTGCATGGTCCCTACAAAATATTAAGGGAACAGCTGTTTGCCGCGGACTGACATTTCCTATCCGAAGTCAGCATGTGCAAGTTAAAGCATAATTTATGTGTGTTTGAACTGCAAAGAAAACCAGTGTCACATATTCTTCAGAATAATGTTAAAGGCTAACCCAATTCTGAGCTGCCTTCCTAATGCAATCCACCACTTAACCACTTTTCTTCTTTAGATTGTAATCATTCATCCACTCTGGATGCACGATTTACTAGCATATTTTTAATTAAATGCAATTTATTTCTGTCAGGACAAGCATGATCTCTTCCACTATGTAGTAAATTCTAAAGCACATCAGTATTTTCAACAAATCACTCACTGGTCTCTCGCCTTTCTGGTTTTTATTTACGTCCTTTCTTTTCCTTTTCAGAATTGAGGACTGAACCTAAGCCATTATTTTGAGTCCTTAAGTCACTAAGTCATCCAGCAGGGCTCAGATTTGGGACTTCCTGCCTCAGCCTCCCAAAGTGTTGGAATTACAGGCATGCGCCACCATGCCCAGCTGTCTTTTATGTTTTGAGTGAAGACAGATGCATTCCTTTCTCTTTGCAGACCCCAAGGCTTTTAAGCAGCAAATCTGAGAATACAGAATGCTGCAATTGCCACTTGGATCTGTACGCTTTGCAGATGGCATTCTTGTCTGTTGCATGCACTGTGATTTATTCTCTAGCAATGGTAAAGCAAGAACCGACTTTGCTCTTTCATGGTGTCCTACTCTCAGTCACAGAGAAATGTGTCGCTCTGCAGGGAACATGTCTGGAACCCTCCCCTTTGTCTGAAACTGAACGAGTGCTCTGCAGCGCAGGTTCTGACTTTCGGTAGAAGATGCCTGGCGCTTCCTGTGGCTCATCTGCTTGAGGACTGAGCTGCTGGTTACCTGAGATCAGCCCCCTCCAGGCAATGCCCTCCCCAGCCCGCTGCCATGTCCACTCCCCCGCTGGCAGCTGCTCTTGCCACTCCGAACTTCAGTGGGACTGCGGCTGTCCTCTGTGTGCCCTCCCAGGCATCTTGTGACTGTCCCTGGGTCCCTGCTCTCTCACTGCCCACACCAAGCATACGGAGCACAAGGACTAGGAGTTTTAGTGATTTGTTAGCACTCACCTAATGTGAATGAGGCCCTGATGGTTTTTAAACTTTTGCCCCCAACACAAAATAGAAGCAAGGGAAAAGCAGTTGTCTGAACTATGGCAGCAACCGTGTGGGGGCCATGCCTGGGTCGAGAGGGGCCTTGGGACCCCAGAGCCACTTCATCATGGCCTGACCCTTGGCCATCTGTGTTTCTGCTCGAAGCTCTGAACTGTGCTTGCAGACACCGGCCTTGTCTCTGAGTCAGGGGAAGAATGCTCCACTTCATCAACAGAAATGAGAACTGTGACATCTAAGCAGCATGGGAATCAGCTTCCATCCCTCCACCTGCCTCTGCTTGTGACAGAAGGATGGGAGGTTGGCCCCAGGACCTTTTCACCGAGTGACATGCCCAGACTTAAGTCACTAAGCTGCCAGGGTGGGGCTTAAGCTTGTGAGCTTCCTGTCTCAGCCTCACACGGTGCCTGGATGTCGGGGTGCAGCCCCACACCCACCTTCCCACCCTTTCTAATACACATGCACAGCTTGTGGGGCTGGAGAGGCAGACAAGCAAGCAGTGCAAGAGGGTGACAGATGAAAATATGACCAGGAGCGACAATGCAGAGGCATCTGAGATGTTATCTTATTATTTCAGAGAATAACAGAAGTTTTGACTATTTCTTTAAAAACAGAATTGAAACTAAAAGTAAAGCACAGTAGTTATGACCCTGACACTCTCAGCAATCAAGCTAGAGATGGGGACATTGTCCCTGTCCCCACATCACCAGTGAGGCATCTCTGTGAGGGGCCCAGACCTTGTCTTCGCCACCTCCTTCAGCTGAGCCAGGACCCCGACTGGAGGCTGCATCTGCGGCTCCGCCTTCCCAGCTCCTTGCCCTATTTGCCCACCGGATGGGGATGCCCGCACCCACTCAGCACCTTCCTCTTTGGACTCCCAGCTTCGGCTCTTCCTGGGATGGGAGGGGAGGCGGGAGACACCAGCATAATGAATAGCGCTGCACCTCTGCTGATGCCCACATGCAACTCCCAGAGGTGACAGTGCAACCTGCTGCATGCCAGGCACACGGTGACGTCTCAGCTGTCCTCCCAGTTCACTCCCGACTCTGTGTGCTCAGGAGGTGGGGTAGGAAAATGGGGACTCAGCCACCCGAACAGCTCACTCCAGGTGACAGGGTTGGCAGGAAGCAGCCTGCCCAGCTGAGGGCAATGGGAGGGTGGGTTGGGAGCAGGGTCTCCCTCTAAGGCCCCAGACAGGCAGCCTGGCTTATCACCCTCACTGCATTTCTCCTGCACCCCACTCCCTGCAGAGATCATAACATACCTTAAAGAAAACTACCCTGACAAATCTGACTGTTCCCCAACTCTGAGCTGACAAATGCTGGACAGGGAACAGTCGTCAGCTCTCCCAACTGCTCGCGAGCACACACGCTTTGCTCTGTGTGATGCACCAATGATGTGACACATGGTGGCCTGCAGGCCTCTCACAAAGTGTGGTCCCCGCTCCTCGGTCCCTCTTCTAAGAACTTCTTCTCCACGCTTTCAAATCAAACCGATATCCTGGGACCCAGAAAGGGGAGATGATGGCTCACAGCCCCGCTGCTCGTGTGCAAGGAGTGGAGGCAGAGCTTTCGGGCGGTGGAGCCAGGACAGGATATCTGTGTAATCCGAAGGATCAGCTGAGAGTTAAAACAACCTAAGCAGTTGTCTCTATGCATCTCACTGGCTAGGAAACATCCACTTTCTGGCTTTGTTTGGTGAGACTTGGGGAAACTCGTCTCACTGGTGTGGGGAGGGCTGTGTGGTTTCTCACATGATTATCAAAAGGCTTTTTGTTTTCTTCCTAAATACTCGAGTATCTAATGGAACTACAAGGAACAAGAAAAAAGGAGGAAAACAATTTCTCCCCCTGGTCCCCTAGTCTGGCTGCAGAATCCTTCTCTCATTGAGGGAACAATGAGAGCTGTTCACCAGAGACAGTAGTGGAAGTGGAGCCCTTCCAACCCCACAGCAGCAAGAGCTGGATAATGTTTGCCTGTGAAAAGCTTCAACATATACAGAGCCGCGGGTCTGTAAGGCTTGTGGCACAGACGGGCCCCTTAGACACACTCTTCTCAAAGACGGCAGCTTTAAGACATGAACATGGCCATGGGAGGAAACTGAGTGAACTTTCAATGCAATTTTTATTCAGGCCTG